AAAGTATTCAGAATACGTTACTCTCATTGAGTAACGTAACGGAATACGTTACAAAATACATTTTGGGGCATGTATTCTGTATTCTGTAGTGGAATACATTTTAAAAGTAACCTTCCCAACACTGTAAGTAGCAGTGGTAGATTCTGGACTAAGTCAAAGTCATAATCCTTCAGCTCTACTACAAAAAAATTCAGCATCAAATTAAACTTACATATCTAAAGTAAAACCAGCGGATATCCAGATCCTTTGTGGGGACTCCTAAAGGAGCAAATAAGACAGCAACTGAAAACTTAGTGAAGAGGCTCATATAAGCGGGTAATGCATTCAAACACTTGTGCACACCTGCACCACGCTGCATACTTTCAGTATCCCTGTTTTTACTTGTTCTTACTTCATATTTAAGTTGGACCAATTCTGCTTCCAGCACAATTTTTTATTCCACTACACTAGAGTAGTTTGGCATGACTGGCAGCTCAAAATAACCCTTCTTTAGCCTTTACTGGGCTTTGGTGAACCGCATCAGTTCATTGGCTATCTATAACAAAACCAATTAAACCCCTCCCCCTTCAAGCCAGCTTACTTCTGATTGGCTCCTGCTCGTAAGCTGGAAATGGGTGAAGCTTCTGTATCTGCGTATCTCCTCTCTATTACATCATACAGAGAGAGAGTTGAAAAAACTGTGCGAAACTGAGTGTTTTTGGATCAGTGTGAACTTTTGGCCCTCAGGTGTTACTTTACACACACCGACCTCTTTATCAGCAGGTTTAACACAGGAACAGGATACATGTGACAGAAAATAAGGAAGAACAGAATACGTCTCTACTTTCTGACCCTGCAAGTCATAAATAGATATTTTCACATTAATTATAATTTAATAAACCTGTAAATATGCACATAGGAATCAAAACCACTGTAATGATGATGATTTCTCTTCGTTTTGAATTGGTAATTTAATTTGGTATCTGAAGAGGCGGTTCAGTGTTTTTATAGGGACAGGTATGTCGCTTGAACCAGTCCATACACCACAGGATTTATAGCTAACCCCATCCATCGCTCATCCCTTAAATAATCACAAATGTCAAACTGTGACTTTTGACGAGACTCAACTTTTCTCTCCTCCTATCATTGATTAGATGGTCAGCGGGGGCGGGACGGCAGTGGCAGCAGGTGGAAAGGTTCCCCTCTTGATGTGATCATGAGTCAGATCCGCAGGAAGCGCACCGCCACAGACAGGAAGCCGTTAGGACGCTTCCTGTCGTGGACCTCGGACCGGCCGGGGATCCCCGAGGACGGAGAATCGGAGATGAAAGAGGACAGAGGACCGAACTCAGGTTTGTACTGTTCAAAGCAGCACGAGATTTTAACTTAGATTTTTTTTAATGGGTGTTTAGTTCAAGGTTACACTGAGGGCCCCAGGAGTCTGGGGCAGCTGTAGGTCGAAAGGTAGAGCAGGACATCTACTCATCAGAAGGTTGGTGGTTTGAGCCCTGACTGCTCCGGTCTGCATGCCAAATATCCTCGGGATAGATGCTAACCCCAAGCTGCGCTCCGATTGCATCCATTGGAGTGTAAATGTCAGATAGAAAGCCTTTACGTGAAGAAAAAAATGACGCACTTTAATTGCTTAACTAGAAAAGCTGTTTAAGAACCAGTCTGTTTAGGAGAAGCAACCATTCTGTATTCACAGTACTGCAGTCTTTTTAAGAGAAAGTGACTTAAAAGATCATTTAAAAGAGAGAAAGAGAGAAAAATCCTAGTATTTCAAACATGTCCTAGTTTTTAGAGAGGAAAGCGTAAAGAGGTTGCTTTATTTATTTTTTTTAAAAAAAGGTGTGTACAATCAGAGGTTCAGAAACAAAATACAGAGCTCAAGAAAATAGAGTTTACTGTGGAAAATCAGTTTACAGTGACATGCTAAGCCCTGTGGGTGTGTATCGTGTGTTTCAGGCTTTGCAGCGTCAGCAGAGAGTGAGCGGGACGTCGGCTGGGGTCGAGTGTGTGTTTTCCTGAAGAGACTCGGGAAGAAAGCCGACAGCAGGAGCCTCAGTTTGGCTCACTGTGATCTGACGGCTACAGACCTGCTGGAGCTTGGTACAAAAATGCACATACCTGTCACACAAGACAGACACGGTATCTGTCAGATAACTGCATTAAAAATACTCCCAAAGGCACAAACGGAGCCCAGCAGACAGTTAGTTGATGCAGCTTCATTTCAAGAGGCGGAGCATCTAAAATTAAGTCTGAATAAAGTAATGTGACTTTATTGTAAGGCGTCAGCTGGCAGAAAGGCAGACAGATGTTTTTCTTGCCGTTTCTTCTCAGCAACGTTGCTGCAGTTCCTCCCCCAGGTGGAAGAGATGGACATCTCCTGGAACGAGTTGATCGGTGGATCCCTGACGGCTCTGACGTCTCATCTGCAACACGTGGGCGAGGTCAGGACGCTGAGGCTCTGCAGCTGCAGGCTAAATAGCGAAGACGTCGTTGCTCTTGGTGGGATCTTCAGTGCAGACACTCTGCTTTATTTATTCTTATTTATAACTATAACAGAACAACCTCTTTATGCAATCAAGTTATTTTTGCTTGATTTCCTTCCTCACTACAGCTCCCATGAGGCTTTGCTGAATGGTTCACACTCTTGCCTTGACAGAAAAACTTTTGTCTCATCACATGTCGTTGGATTTTTCCATGTTTTGTGCAGGTGAAGCTCTCAGCTACATCCCTGCTCTGGAAGTTCTTGATTTGTCCTGGAACAGCGGCGTTGGGGGCGGTGGTCTGCAAGGCCTGCTGGGGAACCTTCACCCATCACTGAGGGAGCTCCACCTGGTGGCCTGTCAGCTCACTGTGGCCGATGCTACAGTGCTGGGTAGTAACTTCAAATCTATGGAGCACATTTCGAGCTCCATAGTTTTATTCCTCAAGTAGAATAGAGTAGCTTTTCATGATTTATATTCAAAATAATCCTTCTTTAGCTTATATTGGGCTGTGCTTCACCCCTACAGTTCATCCACTGTGCATAAGCCCTCAGTTTTACAGCTTTGATCATTCATCTTGATTTACTGGCTCACAGAGAAATTTCAAACTAACTCACAGAAAAAAATTCTGTCTTGAGAGGATAGCTTTAGCTAATTTATCTGAACTCTGTTTACTTTATGAGGTAA